AGCACCATCACAAGGTGGAAGTAGCGCTACGTCAACCTATCTTCTACCGCAGCAAAGTAATTCCGCAAAACCGGCAACTTATCCCCCCAGCGGTCAACCAGGCACTACATCAACATATCTAGCACCATCACAAGGTGGAAGTAGCGCTACGTCAACCTATCTTCTACCGCAGCAAATCAATCCCTCAAGTCCGAAAAAATATTCGCCCAATGATAAGGCATTGGCATCTTCACAAGGTGGAAGTAGTGCTGCATCAACGTGTGCTACAGCTCGGCAAAGTAGTGCTCAAATACCTTACTCTGGAATGGCGCAAGCTGGGCGAGGTGCTGTTCAGAATTTGAATTGTTCGAATAAACGTACCGATGTGAATGCTAACCGAGGAGTCGAACTGCATCCTCCTGTCAGTGCTGGGGTGAATGTCAAGAGACATTACACTGTTACCTATGGAACGTTTGAAAGCCAACCTGTAGTTCCTTTTCAAGGAAATTTTGTTAGTTCAAATACAATTAATTTTGTCAAAAATTCGAGTACGAACATCGGAAAAGGCGAAAGATCTTCATCAGCAATAAATGACGCTCAGAGTGAAGGGCAACTCAAAAATTCATCCTCTCCGTGTGTCACAGCTGGTCTGAAGACTTCAACCCCTAAAGTTACCGTGTCAAGTGAATACATCTACAAAGGAATTCTCAAACCGCACAGTAACTCTCAAAGTGAAGGGCAAATCAAAAATTCATCCTCTCCGTGTGTCACAGCTGGACTGAAGACTTCAACCCCTAAAGTTATCTACAAAGAACTTCTCAAACCGCAGAGTGGAGGGCAAATCAAAGTTTCATCCTTTGTGCGTGTCACAGATGGAATGAAGACTTCAACCCCTAAAGTTATCGACAGAGAAATTCTCAAACCGCAGAGTGGCGCTCAAAGTGAAGGGCAAATCAAAAATTCATCCTCTCCGTGTGTCACAGCTGGACTGAAGACTTCAACCCCTAAAGTTATCTACAAAGAAATTCTCAAACCGCAGAGTGGAAGGCAAATCAAAATTTCATCCTTTGCGCGTGTCACAGATGGAATGAAGACTTCAACCGCTACCATTTCAAGTGAACACATCTACAAAGGAATTATTAAATCGCAAAGTGGAAGAAGCAAAGGATCTGAAAGCGGCTCTTACAGTAATAAAGATGCAATAAAAAGCTTTAAAAATTCAACAGGTCGGAATAGCAGCAAAACTTCTCGATCTGATACTGGTGACAATGAGAAAAAATCAACGTCGAATTCAGTTTCTAATAAGTATAAGCGTTGATATTGTATAAACCATTCGAGAAATTCTCATTTCGAAGAAAATGCATTATTGAGATCGACGGCGTACATTTGTAAACGTATTATTATCAAACGAACATTATGTGTGATATAGGATTTTGTGTTGATGCTGTAAAAATGCTATTAAATGTCACATGAAATGTTTTGCTCTTCATTACTAAAAGGAAGTGAACATGACCAGCGAAATGGCTTCTTGAATGGGATAGATCGATTAGAGCATTTCATGTTCCGTGATAGATCATTAACGTGAAGATAATAGAAATTTGCTGGTAACAGTATATGAAATCATTAGTAGTTAATGGCACGTCTATGACCATTGTTCATTTGTTCGATTAGGGTGAGTTACGGATTTGTTGATAAGTGATTTGCAAAAAGACAATGTTTATTGGGTTCAATCGAAAATACGCAAAATTCATCACGATACAACAATTAAAGGCAGCACAATTCGACCAGAAGTTGTATCAGCTGTGAATGCAATGCGTGGATCGTTGTCATCAATCTTTGCCTCTTTATAAATTACCAAAAGTTTATCGTTTCCACTGGAACCCTCCTCTCGAAAGATCTGAAATTGCTTGCTCTTTTTTCATTTATATAAAACATCTTTTGTGTAATCCTATATTAGTGTTCATCAACATCACTTCCTTCCTGCGATGTGTTCCTAATCTTCAATGCATCGATTTTATCGCCAAAGAAACGATCGAAAATTTGTGTTTTCATGCCTTCAGCCATTGCGGGAACATATATTTCTAGCAGAAAAAACTGGAAACATTCTTCAGTTTTTGTTTTGTTGGATGCTTGTTTACGTTTCACTTGTTAGGGCCATAGGCGGTGTTAAAGAATGTGCAAAATAACCTCAAGATCATGTGATGAACCAGCATCAAGAAAAGAATAAACTGGTGATACTTTGTACAGACGATTATTAGTACATTTGATTTTTATCACCAGACGAGTGGCACCAGTATTTGTGAGCGTGTGTTTCGTTGCACCACCTAACGTTATGAATTCGGCGAATCTTGGATACACTTGCAGACCTATATGGCTTGGCGGCGCTGGCGGTGCTCTGCAAGTATCGATATTATCTTATCAATGAATTAACAGTTCATGAAAAATTGAAACACTAGATGGATTCTCTAAATGTTGGTGCTGCATAAAGCACTGTCGTTTTGGGATCGATAACCGAATTTCAAATGGAATTTTCTTGATCGATGCTAACGACACACTCAACTTTCACCAATAACATGTGATTCTCTACTTAAAAGTCAAAATGCTCGTGAAGCACAACTCGACAATTGCAACTTCGAATCATTGGGATGCAAAGGGTTATCCGAATGCAATTTAGCCTTATTTGCTTGGGTAGGACTTAGGTTGAAAATTACCGTTGCAACGTGTTACCGTTGCGTTTCATGAGTATAACATGAATCCATCTTTCGTACAGACGCTCATTAGTATTTTGGGGCTTTCACTGAAACGTTACTTGCAACTTGCATAGGGTTTTCAATGAAAGCCCTGTGCAAGTTGCAAGTAACGTTTCAGTAAANTGCAAAATTTGGAAATAATTACTCAGCCGGTATTGAGAAATGACTGATCGATTTTGGACTATTATAATCCATTTGGCGTGAATTTACAATCAGCGAAACTCCTGGAAATCTTCCCAATGAATGTTCGAAATCGAAAAATTAACACAATCCACAGACGTCAAGTCATTAAGGAAAAAGACAAAAAATATCGGGTGGACAATTAAAAACATAGAATTCATGTTGAATCGTGAACTTTCAAATGTACTGATGAAGCTCATCGTATGTCGGCAATTCGGTTGCAGTCAAATGATTCTCAATGCCGTTTTCTTCGTCCAGTTAGAGTCGCTGCGAAAGAAATCACTGAGATATATGCATTATGATTGGATTTTATAATGGTTTTCTCATTCGAGAACTCCATAAATGAATGAGCTTAAAAGCAATAACTCCTTTCTCATATAAGGATACGCCAACGTATCGAAAAGCCGTTCATAAATAAATGTTTGAGTATCGCTCCAAAAGCTGACATTAGCCTATTCACTTCGCGAGAATCATTCATAATGTGTCAACTATCACAAAATTATTGATCATTGCTGCTTTTGAGCTTATTCACGAAATTCTGTTATGTTAATGGCTGTGAGCTGTGAAAGAAGCATCAACAGATAACTCGAAATGGGCATGAGATTCGCTGCACTAAACGTCCTGGGTTTTATACCAAACAAATTTATAACCTGGATTGCTAATCGATTACTGCGCTTCTTTCAGAAAACCTTAATGTTCTCATGGAATTACATCAGCTAGGTCGTCATCATGAAACGCAATGAAAAATCAATGAACAAACACTTCGGAACGAAGAGGCCAAAAAGAAATTGGAACGTGCACTGAATGATCGCTTGGTCATTGCAATTTAAATGGCGCTACAGGTACGTAATGACTCGAAAACACGCACATTATGAGTACCAGCTAAACGCCTTTCGGATTTTATCATAACATCGTGATCAATAATGCGATTTTGAGGGCAACATAACCAGCGAGAATGATTAAACGGATGCTTTGCAAAGATAAATTGCTTCCATTTGAAACAACAAAAAACACTTCATTCATCAATGCGCCACTCACTATGGATTGCCCACATCTGACATTCAAAGGAAGCACGTTCCGTCTTAATATTCTATAAAGTAGCGCTTTTCAGTTATTCCATTCACCTGCTAGGCCTTCCTTCCCAAAGTCGATTCTCTCATAATATCACCATCTTGAACATCAGTTAGCTTTTTCTGCGATGAAATGGACGATTATGGAATTAATCAAGACGACGTTGGGTTGGCTTATTGTTGGGTGCAATATATTTGCACTTAGATTTTGCTGTTTGCTCAGACTGACGAACAATTTGGAGCGTACTTTAACAAGTTAGTCTAACAATAAGCCGAGTGCAAAATTGAATGAAATGCAAAAGAAATATTCGTAACTGAATGAATGCTCGATTGGATTCCATGATTGACTTCTTCCGATGAATTTTCTGGTTATTATCTAGACTGAGCAGCGTCGATTCGGCGAGCATTTAACCGAAGGAATCTCGCCTACGACAGCAAGAAGGCAACGATAAGAAGGTGAAGATCATGCTAGAAAAGAAGTCCACAGAAAACCAGACCGAAAGGAGACAATTTTCGAGAAACTTCGCAAATTACGCCTAATGAAAATAAGGTCTGCCGAGCTGATCGTGGAATCACTTCTCAAATTAAAAGAAACAACGTAGTGAAAGGATGTATTTTTTGCTGACAATGAGCATTTTCTGATTCGAATAGAGTAGTGATCCCGTTTTAGAATTTGACGTTAATGAGGTGGGAAATTTGAAGATGCGGGATCTCTATCGCCTGAAGTTTAAACTTATCTCTTATGGAGAGAAATTCTAGAATTATTTCGAAAATGTATCAATCACATGAGAATGTGATGATCAAATAAATGGTTCAGTCGAATAATTGAGGAGCTCTAAAACATGGAAGGTCAATGTGGAGATATGCTTGTTGGTGGGTGCCGAATTTCCTCACAAGCACAGGCATTATCGATATGATGATCAACTTCTTGCATCGAAAATCAATTGGAAATATGGATTTGATCCACTGCTCAATTCAAAATTTTTAGTAATGATAGATTTGTAGCCGTATATACCTGTGGAAATTCTCATATTGAAAAGGAAAAAACTTTTGAAGTTTCGCTGTGCCACTTTTTTGTGTTTAATGACAATCAACGAATGTTTGGATTGAATAGAAACTGAAAATACTTTCGCATTCAATCGGAACGACACCATACAACTTCATATGATTGCACTTTTTTTGAATTTTATCAACAATCAAAGTGAATTCAGTGAATAGAAATTGAGAGAACGGTGTTCGAAAGAACCTCAAGGGATAGTTCGAAAATTAAGTTCTTGTGGCATTTTCTTTGATAATGGCAATCTGAAATGATTGCCTCACATCTCAATGGATAGTTTGGAACTGATGTCGAGTGTGATTCATTTTTCGTTTTGTTCATCCGATCAAAGCATTCAAATAGCAATCAGTCATTCTGTTCTAGCGATGTGGCGCATTGACACGGCTGAAACGAACGGACAACACATCAGCCGACGTTTAATGCTTATGCAAAATCTTAAACTTATCTATATTTCACTGCCCAAAAAGAATTTCGGACATTCTGGAATAGCTGGAAATCCTTACGACTCAGGAAAATTATCTAACAGGCAAATGTTACTGATGTTATAAAATACATGTGATCGACGATGGAAAATTTGTGATCAGAAAATATTGATGGGTCTCGAATATTGTCATTGTCACTGATCTGATCGATCCGTTCGCATAGAGCTTACTTAAGCGCACTCATTTGAGTTCCGAATGTACTGAGATGTATAAGGTGAGCGTTCGAAGAGTCACAGGTACAAACAAGTACTTGTAAACTTATGTGGTTATAACACGAAATATAAATCACCTTGATGGATTCTTTGAAGACGAACAAATGAAATAGCATTGCAGTGCCTTCAGCGATCAAATTGCACAGTCACTTTTGATTTTTCAGAATTTCTCTTCAGACGAGCATCCCTCCAACCCCTCAACAAAGTGAACCTAAAAAATGGAACATCGCNCATCGTTGATTGACAGGATTTTCATTTGTGCGATTTTGATAGGTATTAGTTTTCCTTGAAAATGCGTAATTGATTGTGAGCAAAATTCTTTACATTCGATGTCACTGACTTAAGAAAAAATGAACATTCTTTGAAATGGAGCAATGAATTGGCTTGTAAATTAAATGAATTCCTTGAGATAATGAGGTACTTTCCATCAAAACCGTCCATGTGACTATTACAACTTATCACATCGTTTATTGCTAGTGGTCGTTTCATAGTGATGAGCAGTTTTGCTGAGTATTGAATAAATGATCAGTCACATCAATTAGCGGATATTAGCCAAGCACATGAATATGATTTATGTATTAGCACTATAATGCATTCGATTTTGTATGACCCCAATGAGCAGAGCGTGCATGAGTAGATGACCCCTCATTCGTTTAGAGCGCTTAATTTGCAGAATGCTTGATTGATCGATCGAATGAATGGATGGGTCATCATTATCTTAAGTGTTTTTGATATTCATTCGTGGGCAATTGCCCATGAAATGCTTTTATTGCTGTCAGTAGCATCCATCATTCATCACTNCACCTCTATGGATTAGCGTTTGCACGGCATTTTTGAATGCCCATCCAGACATTTATCTTTTGGAAAATTACGCGTTTTTTAGATTTGATCAAACAATACTCATTTTGAATTGCACATTAATCATTCACACTTCATTCAAATTCAATAAAACTTGCTGCTTTACACCCGAGACGCGATGAATAAATAAGTCATTACATAACAACGAACGTCGGCTTTTGTTTTTAGAAAGCAGTGAACAAAGAAGAAAGCACTCAACAAAAACAGTCAAGAAAAAAGTGTCAGCACTCTTGCTCCGTTTTTCTTCATTACTCTTGTTTTGTCTTCTATGTATGATTATTTTCAATCCCGGTTTTTTAAAACGACTGCGGGATTCAATTGCGGGATTGAACGGAGATTGGAAAATGTTCGGGATTTTCCAAACAGCACTGCAGGTCCATCGTGCTGATTGCTCATCGAGAATTTTTGCGATGGTTTAGACAGATTCAACTTTAAATCGAGAAATGTGAATTTCCACGATTGAAAATTTCAAGAATTTTTTGTGATTGCTTCCAATGTTGCAATATGAATCGAAATGGGCTCGAAACCATTTTCACAAATGTTATATACCGTCCACTGTAAAATTGCATGAGATCGTTCGAAATTAATTGACTTCACAAGCACATTTGGATTAGTTGATTCTATGAGCATTTCAAAATCAAATGTTTTCACTACTTCACAGTGAATGCTTGAAGCTTCGAACGTTTGAATTCTACAATAATTGGCACGAGTCGAATAGAACCCACAGAACATGTCCTTTGAGAGATACCATTCATAACGGTACTCATATGGCACCATAATTTGTTATCAATAGCAGATTTTTTTTCATAAGAAAAGCCTTGAATAAGGGAAGTGATAAAGAATGTTGCATTCATGAGTGCGATGAACAAAATTGAAATTTGATTAGTTTATGCAGCACTTTGCTCACAATACGACTAATTAGGAGATTTATTACGAAGAATCTATTGCACTCAGAGCGATCGGCAC